CCATGAAAATTATTCTTATATTTTAAATATCCATTGCATCGCCCATGTATTAAATCTAATAGCAGCTGACCTTGTGAAAATAACTTTAGTTAAAAATATTTTAAAACAAGCTAATATGCTAGTTTCATTTTTTCAAAAATCTCATTTAGCAAACCGGCTTCTGCGAAATACTATCTTATCTATGAATATTAAAGGTGGTTCATTAGAAACATATAGCAAAACACACTAGGTATCTATTTATAATACAACAAATTCTATCATGCATGTTAGACCTGCAATTGATAAGGTTTAAAAATTAATATTTTGCTATTTAAAATCCAAATATTTGTTTTTACCTAGCAAAACTTATTTCTAATTTATAATTATATAAATATTATTACTATTATTTAGATTCTTGAAGAACAACCAAATATATTTATCAATAAAGATGTGTATGAAATTGCATTCAATGAAGATGATGTTTTCTATACTTTATACAAAAGACTCGCTTTAGTTTTTGAGCCAATTAAACGAGTAATCAATTTTCTTGAAAGTCGTACTGCAAACCTGGCTAATTGTTTCGTAGGAATAGCACAAATAGCAACTGCTTTTAGGAGAATACACTCTAGTAATGATCTTCATGTTTCTGCTATTGCATCATTCAATTTTCGTTTTGAACAATTTGATGTTTCGCCTTACCTTCTAACTTACTTTCTCCATCCAAACTACCGAGCTTGTGGTATTAAAAAAGAAAACTTTAGTAATATTTGCGAATTGGCGATTAGTTACTATCAAAGCTTGCATCATAATAACAAAGAATGTCGTGAATTAGTATATCAACTAATCAAGTACAAAGCAGGCGTTGCACCTTGGAATCTTGAATATTCTTCTAATTTAATACCTGCTTTATAGTAGGGAGTTGTTAAAGATGAGCATACACATCTACAAGAACTAGCAAAAACTATGTTTGCTATTGTGCTCTCTCAAGCCAATTGTAAACGAAATTTTTCTCTTTTGAAATGGTTTAGTGAAGGATGTCGCACACGGCTTCAAATTCCAAGACTAGAAAATATACTTCTTCTATGTATCAAACATAAAACAAGAGTTAAATTTTTATGATAAGAATCTTGAAGAGGTGAAATTGCACAGTAGTGTAGTAAATGAAATGATCTTTGCAGAAGTGGATAATATTGGATCAAATAAAGATAAAGATGAAATTGAAATTGAGAATCTTACAGCAACTGATATTACAAAGGTTCTTCAAGATTTGATAGATCTGTCAGACCCGATATTTGGTGCAAATAATAAAGAAGAAATTACTTTAATGAATAAAGAAGAAACTACTATGGAATTTGATAGTAAGTCTTTGGTTCAGGATATATTAAGTGATGATGATTTATATAAATAATATTATACAAATTCACTTTGTATATTGAGCCTTACCCAAGTTTTTTTTTTTAATATTCGAGTTTTTCTTCATATTCGATATTTGAGTTTTTTTCATATTCATATTATTACAAATAAATAATAAGAATCATTTGTCTTTAATAATTGAACATAAACTTAAACATATTGGATAGGCCTAAATATACGTACCATACACAAAAGGAATTAATAGATCACTAAATAGAATATGTTGAAGTGAAGCGCTATATTAGATCTAATACTGTACTGTAGTTATATTGAACGTGCATATTAAATAAATTATAAAAACCTTTTGTATCTACAATAAAAGTTGATTTTAGTTCTCATTAAATTTATGCACCTAATGCTAATAATATTTAAAGAAATGTCTATTTAATAAAATATTGTTGTATAATTTCTCTAATGTTGATTAATCTGTGAATCATAAGTAGAAATCTTGCCACAAGACAGTTGAAGCTTAATAGAGAAAAGTCTTTTTAATAAATTAGTGCTCAAGCAGAATACCAAATGCTGAATACTATGACCACGGCAATAAATACGCGAATACTGTATTACTGTAATAAGAAAAAATCTTAAACTTTCTTCTACGTATTAAAGTTTGTATAACCATTTTTGACTCGACTTGCATTTCTTATTTGGGATAAATCCTAAACCAGTTTTTACATATAAGAATTTGGGATTTTTAGCCGTAATATAGATTACATGCCGAAATATTTGACATTATAGCAAATTAAACATATTTTGCGAAACCTAGTAAATACTATTTGGGTTTCTACTAAATCCCAAACTAGTAGGTTTGGGGCGCAACCTTAACTGCAAAGAGGACAAAACTAATAAAAGATGAGAAACAGAAGCAAGTATAAGTAAGGGCACCACTGGCTCCTACATTTATTTTTATATAAGACTAAAATTTAAAACATATAATTGTATCAATTTTAATAAATAATTTAAGAAGTAATTGATCAATTAAGTAAATTAGCACAATTAAGATTATTCTACATATTTCTGTATATCAATATCAATT